GGTGATTGTTATGATTTAGGGGTTTTTGTATAAGGTTTGGATTAGCAGGTGGCTTTTAAAATGGCGTAAAAGCGTAGGGGGGGTGTAGGTGCAGGTTGGGGAACGAACTGGGAAATGACCCTCCCTTGCTCCTACACCCCACCTTGGATTCCTTTGCACATCTCCTGCCAATCGTGACTGACATCAACCACACCTTCAGGGCTCCAGCGATGGCAAGGGTACGTCGGACAGTTGCTGGGGCGAACATGCCTGTGTGTGACAAGGGTGGCGAACTACACTGAACCGCTTTTGGTGCCAGTCCACGTCCGTTAAGTCATGGGAAAGCTGTCTGTGTCGAACCTCCATCAGACTTCTGCCTAAACCCATAGCTGGCCAGGTCATGGATGTCCTGGCAGGCATGGTCCGACTGGCGTAAGGTCTGCGAATGAACCCTGCAGGCTGTTGACACGGGCCATATACAGGCAAACAAGCAACATCAACTTATCGATCCACTTGGCACTTGGCGTGTGAGTGGGCGGGTGTACTGGTGAGGCTGTTTCTGCTGTCACTTCAATCTATTTTCCGCTCGTCGGGCTTGTATGGCATAGTAGCCCCTTGTCATTCTGGTCTGGGGTGTGGCACGTCTGCCATGTGCAACTTGGAAAATCACAGAATGCTTCGCCTTCCCGCTCGAACTCCCATTGGTGGGATACAGCCGACTTCTGCCTAAACCGACGAATCGCTGATACTCATGATGCTTGTTCATTGGCCATACGCATTGAAGCACTGCCCGGCTGATGCTCAGGATGCTTGGTCTCTGCGTGTACTGACTGACGTACTGAAACGGCTGATGCTCATGATGCTTGGTCACTGCCTTGCATGCAGTGGCAGAAGCATTGCCCAGCTAATTCTCATCATACTTGGTCGTTTTGTGCACTGACTGATGCACCACCCGGCTGATGCTCATGATGCTTGGCGGTTGCGTGCACTGACTGCAGCACTGCCCGGCTGATGCTCATGATCCTTGGCCGCTGCGCGCACGGGCTGAAGCACTGCCCAGCTGATGCTCATGATGCTTGATCGTTTCCTGCACTGGCCGAAGCACTGCCCGGGCTAATGCTCGTGATGCTTGGTCGTTGCGTGCACTGGCTGAAGCACTGCACGGCTGATGCTCACTCCAGGTGCTGGCTGATGTGCTGCCCGGCTCTGCTTGGGCCACCGCCGATTGCTGCAAAGTGCTGAGGAGGGACCACGGGTGTTCGGCACCAAACCCATGGTGAAGGCAACACCCGCTTGCCTTCACACTGTGCTTTTGGCACCAAACCAGGTGAAGGTAACGGCCGCTTGCCTTCACAGTATTTTTCGCACCGAATCGACTAGTTCTGTGAAGGCAACGGCGGCTTGCCTTCACCGTGTGTTTTCGGCACCAAAACCATGGTGAAGGCCACGGCGGCTTCCCTTCAGCGTGTGAGTGAGTGAGTGAGTGAGTGAGTGTGTGTGTGTGTGTGTGTGCGTGTCTGTGTGTGTTTCGGCACCAAACCCATGGTGAAGGCAACGGCCGGTTGCCTTCNNGGTGAAGGCGAGCGGCCGTTGGCTTCGCCACGGCAAGCAGCCTTTGCCTTCACCCAGTGCAAAAGACTGTGAAAGCGAGCGGTGGCTGCCTTCACCTGAGTTTTGGGGTCAAAACCCACGGCGAAGGCAAGCGGCCGTTACCTTCGCCAGGGTTTTGGCGTCAACAACACAGGGTGAATGCCGGCGGGTGTTACCTTCACCATGTTTTTGTGCTGCCAAACACACACGGTGATGGCACGGCCGTTGCCTTCACCATCGTTTCATCGCAATACGGATGACAACGAAGCAAACATACCTCTGTAGGTGTGCTAGCTGCTAGCTGCTTAGTAGCCAATCCAAGTTTGGCTCCGGTTAGGAACCAATCCAATGCAAGGGACGAGTCAGCCTTTGGTGGCTTGCGAAAGCAAACATAACACACAGACGAGAGGCCGGTGTTCCTGCTTACCGGTACCCAACAAGGGGGGGGGGGG